TCACATGCATCCTTTTCACCAAATGTTGGCTTAATAACACTAGGGACAGTGTTATTTAAGTCTGGGGAGTTGGTTACTGATGTTGTATGCTTTGTGTTTGATTTTTAGAGTCTTAAAGTTGAGTCAAAAACCTGTTTTATAGAGTCAAAATTTTGAAACTGTGAGTTTTTCTTGGAATTAACCATATGACGTTTATGCTTATAAAAACCATTGCCACAGTAGTTGATTACAAGTCTTACTAAGTTGAAAGTCATAGGTGAATCAGTCTAGCAATGAAGGTCTAGGTTCTTAGAGAATCCGGAAAATTTGTTGTTAGCTCCACCCTAATGAACTTTAAACTTCTTGTCTTGGGGCCTGATTCTCATTGATTTTTATTCTCTCTTTCAGCACTGACAATAAGTTTAAGATACAATCTCTCTTTGATCTTCCCTGATACAACTTTTAAGAGTTTAAGTCCATAGAATGGTGCATTCATGACCCTGTCTCCTCACAAGGATCAACAGTAATGAACACAATGAAGAACCTGTCTCCTCACCAGGAACACAAGTATTGAGTAGCACCATATCTTAGACTGTAAGAAAAATTTGAGAAAAGAGTTGAAAAATCGAAAATATCCAAAGGAAAAGATCAAGGGAAGAGAAATAGAGAGCTGTGTTGAGATTGATTTGTTCAGTTGTTTAGGAAGGGAAAAGAATCTGTAAGTGATTGAGATGATAAAACCTTGATGAGATATCACAATTAGATAAATAACAGGAGTTAGCAGTAGAGATTTCGGATTTCTTGAAAGAGCTTGAACTGGATTTGAGAGATTTGCTAAGCATGTGATGATTAGACTGAAATTTAATCTTTTGTTTACTCCGTGGTATGTGGATTCGAAAGTGTTAATCAATGTGGTGTTCCTGATGTTTAGCTGACTGTTTCTGTTTTCAAACCTCGACCCTGTTCTTTGTCTGATGTTTGCTTGAGGGCAAACAAAAGCTAAGTCTGGGGGAGTTGATATATCATGGTTTTTATAGTTTTTAACCATGGTATAAGTCCATTTTATTGAGTCTTTTTGGTCTTTTTAGAGTCCTAGTAGAGTCTTTGCAGGTTAAAGCATGTCTGGAGCATAATTGGAAGTTTTGGAGCTTTTTGGAGCATTGCAAGTTACAGCCCCGAAGTATACAACTAAAAAGCGTTGTTCTGGCTTGGGTGACGACCGTCACTGACCTGGTGACGCTCGTCACCCGTAGAGGAAAGATCGTGGTTTGTTTTAAAAAAATTGGGAAGAAATTGCAGCTTTGGCCCAGAAGTTCCAGTATTTACAAAAACGCCCTAGATCGTGTTTTGGCTTGTATATTAGGTTTTTCAACTATTCTTTGGGCAGCTATCTTGTATCTTATTCTTTTTGAGAGCTTTAGAGAGAGATTTGTAGCAGAGCTTTTGGAGAGACAAATCAGACTCCTTCAGAGCAGATTTCTAACTCCTTTATTTCTATTTCTTATTTCTTTTATGCAATCTATTCTTTTCCTGATGTTTGTTTCATTCACCATGTCTGGGTAGTTTGTTAGTTAAGTTAGGGCTTTTCAAAGGTTGATGAAGAGTTTGTAGAATTGCTATCTGTTAAGAATATCTTTTAGTTCTTCATCTTTGCTTGCTTTAAAACCGATTTATAGACACATCATCTAGAAATCCGAAAATCATAGGTTTTTCAATAGATGTGTGAGCATTATTGATAACCTGATCTAGCATTAGATGAGCAAAACAACTTAGTGCAAAGAGATTTGGCTTAGGAGTTTTGTGAACAACTGAACCTGATTATTACTGCATGTTTAGATTGTTAGGGTTTGCAAAGAGATTTGAAACTCTGTGATTTAGACATAGTTAACTTCTGCAATGAGAATTGATTAGTTATATATTTGCGATTCATGTTCATAATGGTTCTTAATCATTCCTGATTTCATGCATTCTACATTCTCGGATTCAACCTGCGAATTGTCCTGACATAGCGCTTTTAGTTTTCTGAGTCTTAGATCAAACAAATTTCTCCTGCTATCTTTCATTTTGTTATTTCGCATTACATACGCTACTTACTGCTTAGCTTAATCTGAACCTATAATCGATAGTGTAGTTTACATACTCCTTTGGGATTCGATACCCCTTATACTATGATTGCTTTACTGTGCACTTGCAGTAGTTTTTATTTGGATAAAACCTGAGCCCTATCAATGACTTTCTCTTATTCATGCATATTTCAAGTCTATTTTGCATTCATTGTAGATTTAGTGAGTCTCATACTATAAATTTCATATTAGGTGCAACTTGGAGTGTATTTCAGGTACATTAAAGGCTTAGGAGGATCACTGGACTTTCGGTGGGGGCGGGGGGGGGGGGGGGGGGGGGGGTGGGTTAAGCTGAAGCAAGGAGGAGGATTCAAAGGAGCAGAAGAAGTTTTAAGGTTCTGTATCGAGGTGGATATCGGGCTGTTGCTTGATATCAAAAGGAGGAATTTTTATCGACCTCTGTAACAGGCGTCACCCCGATACAGAAAATTTTTGGAAAAACTGGCGTTCTGTGAAGCACCTCCGTATCAGACATCTGTATCGGCGTCCAAGTCGATATGAAAAGCAAGAAAGTGTATCGAGGTGCATGTATGGAGGAGATGGCCGATATCAGCCCCCTTCCTAGCCAACTTTGACTTTGGCCAATACTCGGATTCAACCCTTGACCAGCTTCGACCCTTCCTATTACTAATCAGTAACCTTATCTTATCTTTTGATTATGCTTGATCTTATCTTTAAGAAACAAAAACCTTATCTCTAATCACTCTTTTTCTTGTTCTTGAGCAAATTTTCCAGTTTTTGGTATTTGTAAGCAACAATTTGAGTTTTTAATATAATTTAATATTTTTTGTTATTGTTCTTAGTTCTATTCTTTTTTACCATGGTTTCTCTCACCATCTATCTAGATTTTGAGGGATTAATCATGGTTTGTGAGTAGTTAATTTTTGGGTTTAAGGATGGGTTATATTTAGGATGATCTAAGGCTTATAACTTATAATTAGGTGTAGATGATGTTAGATCCTTCACTATTAGATGTTGTTAATGCTTGAATCTTATTGATCATCTGATTTTCGAACTTAGGGTTTCTCTGCATTATAAGTGTTTGTTTAAATGCCTGAACGAACCTCTTAGTGGATTTGCTTATCCTTACACATGAGAATGGATGACTATGGATCTTATTGGATTAATAGAACTGTTTCTTCATGCTTGATTGTATCTTGATAACTAATGAGATGCCCCAACCAACGAAGTCAAGAGATTTACATTCCAAGCTCAGATGATTGTTTAGGGTGTTTATTAGGATTTCATGCTTGTTGATTAGTCTTTTACTAATGATAATTAGCTCTTAATTGATTAACAAAGTGGTTAGTGCTATGGAAGTGGATAGTCTTGTTTATAAGTTCTATGCATAAGGATTATCATTATTATGTTTGTTTGAGCATCCTAGATTGTCCCTATGATCGCCCAAAGTTAATAACCCCATCTTTATACCCTTTTATTCATATTTGATCATCTTGTCTTAGAATATGCTTTGTTTTTGCTTTGATTATTGTTATTGCTTGAAGTATTTGAATTTGCTTATCACTAGTCTTGATTCATTGTTTAGTTATGCTGATAGACATAAACTTTCTTGATATTGCTTGGATTAGAAATCATCTTGCAATTTTGGTGTCACAAGTATTCCCAAGTGCATTGATTCCTCAACTATTACAATGACATGAATAGTGTTAAGCATTGAAAATAGCAATAACATCTTACTTATCAACAAGCATTCATGTCATCCAATCTTTTTAACATTCATTGAAGTGTAATCATGGACCATGCTTATGCAAATCAAGTGAACTCATTTGGCTTAAGAACATGGTTATGAGAATTATATGATCTCATTTATGTGGGTTTTTTAATGCAAGGGATCTCTTAAGAAAGTATGAACTTTGGCAAAATGGTAAGGGGAATGAACTATCTATGCATACATGGACAAACTCCGATCTACCCAAGTATCAAAAATTATCGTAACCTTTACTTCTAGATACAACAAAGTCCCTCCTATTCTACCGTTTTCTCAAGGCTTTTTGCCTTCTGGACCCACACAACTTCAGTCATCTTTCTTTCCTTTTGAAATTTTCGGGACGCATCTTCTTCTATTGATCTTCATATGGATTGGCTTTCTTCACTTCTTGTCTTTAGCTCTTCTTCTTTTTCCTTCTTCTCATCCTTTGGATGCTTAAGCCATTCTTTGCTTCCTTTCTTCTTCATTTTTTTGTTAGAGACTTCTTCTAATTCAACACTTAGTTTCTTTTGAACTTTTTTTGCCAACCATTCTAAGTTTTTACTAACCCCTTACTCTTTCTCATCCTATTTTTTCTTCTTTTTCCACCTTTTATTTCTTTTAAGAAAACACCCAAGTACCCATTTAAACTAACCAGTGTAGCATGTGTCTAGCTCAAAAATGGTGAGCTAGTTCTACATGAAAGACTCTACGTAGGTTTAGAACAATCAAATAAATGCTGATCCTTAGGTTTAGAACACTAATCAAGAGTAATCAACTCTCATGGCACTAATCACTTTGATAATTAGCTAATCAAGAACAAACTCTCATTTGTGAATAAGCAATCAAGAAGCATTACAAACCTGTTCTAATCAGCCAATAAACACTTTAGACATCTATTCGCATAGGCTAAGCATATAAATCCCTTAAATAGTTCATTGGAGTATTTCATCAAACACCTTCAGTGCACAAATTTTTCTAAGATCTAAACCACCATTATCAAGACTAATCTACCACTAATAACACCAAATAAGGAAGGATATAATAAATCTAAGATGTAGACACCATAGATAAACCATCAAATCATCCTAACCTACCTTATCCTAAGATAATAGTGCTGTTCGTTTGCCAGTCGTAGGTACTTGCGGCTGAGGCTGCGGCAGAAATTTTTGTTTGTTTTGTCGACGTAGATACTTGCGTCTAAACGCAGCGTCAACCGTGGATACCTGCATTCGAATTTTTTAGATGCCATAGAATTCGGTGGTGCGGCTAATGTTATTGTTGTTAAACCGTTAAAAAGACTAAATTACCCTTACTATTATTTGTAAATTATAAATAAATGCCATTAAACATAAACTAAATCCTTTCTTCTCGCCGTAGATCTTCTTCTCACGTAGCTCTTCTTCTCCTGTAACCTTCATCTTCAATCTTCTATTGGGTTTCTGGGTTTGTTCATTTGGGTTTATAGTTTCTGGGTTTAGTTTCTGATCCCCGCTCAAGCTCTTCTTCAACCTTCCCTTCTCTTTCTCTCTCTCTTTCTCTATCTCTTTAAAGCTGCCATTGGAGGTTTTGAATAATTATTTGAAGCTTTACTTCCGGTGAACTCTTCTCTCTCTCTCTCTCCTTAATTTGATTTGTTGTCCGATTTGATTTTAGAAATTTATGGGTTAATAGTTCGAATATTCGGATTGATTTTTAGAATCCGAATATTTGAAATGTTGAATGTAGTCGAGGATGCTTGTGGTTTCATTGTTTAAAGTGTTTCCTAAATATACTTACATCTCCTTCATGTCTTTGCTTGAGTTTATGTATTCGTTGCATCAATGGTTTTTACACTAATTAATCGATCTTCAAGAATTATATACTTAAAGATCACATCCTGTTGTTTATATAGTTCCGCTTAGTTCTCAGTTTACTCTTTGTGTACTTATTATGTTTGTGGTTTATTTCACTCCTGCACTTCAGTGATGTTATTTTCATTTCACTATAAGTAATTTGCTCCTGCACTTTTTCAGGATGCTGAGTGCGTGACACCTGTGCGAGATAGCGCATAACTCTGTGTACCAGTCTGGGTTCTCAAATGCCCTGAAGGTACTTGTTATATCTCATACACATACTTTGGTTTATAGATTAACAAGATGCCTTCGCTTTGGTGCAATTCATTTACTGTTTAGTATTTTGAGGTTTTGATCTTGTTTTGTTTTCAGGTTTAGAGAAAAAAGGAAAAAAAAAAATTGATGCAGCGTCAACAAAACAAACAGCAAGGCAGCGGCAATGTTGCCGCTGCCGCCACCGCAGCTCTGACGCTGACGCTGCTGCTGCCGCATGCTGCTGCCTAATCATTAGAAACCTAACAAAATCTATTAGGATGGTGTTAAGATTCTTGATTAGGGAGAAAAAAGGATTAAATATAAAGGAATAGAAGTTCCAAATTGCATAAACTCTTGAAAGTCTCTTACAAACTTTAAGAATCTAAAAGAAGAAAGTAATTGAAAAACAAGAAGAAGCTCCCTAGAAAAAGTATTTGTAACTGATGATAACAAAATGTACAGCTTTAAGTCTAGTTCTTGGAGAGTTCTTGATGTTACTTTTAATAAGTATAATTCTTGGAGAGATCTTTGTTATAGATGGGATAGTTTAAACCTGTTCCATTGTTTTTTTCACTGAAGTAAGACATTGGTCGCCCTCCTTGAGTTAATACAGCTCCTATACCATTCACAGATACATTACATTCAAACTCAAAAGCTTGATCAAAGTTAGGTAACACCAATACATGTGCATGAGTGAGACTATCTATTAGCATGTTTAATGCTTCTTCATGTGTTTGTCCCCATTTAAAAGCAATACTCTTCTTGATTACTGAGGTTGGTGGGGCGGCAATGGTACTTTGAAGTGTATTTTATGTACCTTGGAGGCTATGGAGACTTTATGGAGTTTTGTGCATGAGCTAGGACAAAGAAGAGCTAAAAAGGAGTTACATATATTGTTTGGCTTCACATCGACGAGTTATAGTGAGCAGTCAGGTCGATTCAGATTTCTAGTGAGTCGTAATGACGAGTTGTAGCGAGGTGAACACATTGATATGGAAGCTTCAGGATCGTAGAGATGAGTTGTAGCGAAGTGGTGCATCAAGGTGAACATCTTGATATGGAGACTTCAGGATCCTAGCGACAAGTTGTAGCAAGCACTCACGTCAATACAAAACACCAAAGACTTGTAGCGAGGTGTTCACATATATACAAACCATCAAAAACCAACCTATGATTGGGTCAATACCTGCTTTGTTCTGGGGTTATCCGTTCGACCATTGTTCACGATATATATATATATATATATATATATATATATATATATATATATATATATATATTACCTAATTTTTCTTAGTTATCATTCTTCTTCCTTAAGCAAACTTTTCACTTTTATTTTAAACACATTTTATAAGATCTTTTGAAGAGCTTATGAAGTTCTAGAGGTTCTCTTTATTAATATTTCATCGTTTTCCTTTCTAATCATGTTTATCTATATTTCTACCATTATATTTCTGGTTTTTAGGCATGATTAGTGAGTAGTCCCTTTAGATCTTGGGATTGATTAGATTATGGTAATTTGATGACTGATTTATGATGCTTAGGGCTTAAAATTTTTATTATCCTTTCTTATTTGATGTTCTTAGTGCTAAATCTTCCTTGATCTTGTTGATTTAGACAATAGGACTTTTCTTGCATTGAAAGTGCTTGATGAATTTCCTAAATAAATCAAATAGGATATTTACTATGAGAATAGATGTGTAGGGTGTTTATTGGTCAAATAGAACTGAAGTTTAATACTTATTGATTATCTTTTTACTAATAAGAATAAGTTCTTAATTAGGTGATTGATAAAGTGATTAGTGCCATAAAAATGGATCAATCTTGTTTAAGATTTCTAGACCTAAAGATTAGCATTGTTATGATTGTTTGAGTATCATAAATTAGTCAAAGAGTTACCCTAATTCAATTACCTTATCTTAGGATCACTTGTCTTTAATTGTTAATCTTGATTGGTATTTACTTGTTTTAAATTAATGCTTACAAAAGTTGCAAGTGATTGTTTAGCTTTTATATTGGTTTTATTTATATTTCGGTTGCTAGAATTAAACTCTTATATTGGTGTTGCTTGGATTTAGAAGTTTCTTGCATTTTTGATGTTCAACAATCCCATTTGGATTGATATCTGAAACAGGAAAGATTCAAGGGTTACACCAAGCAATGAGAGATCATGGCTTCTCTAGTGAATCACTTCTAAACACTTTGTATAGACGTGTTCTCCCTAAAATCAGGATGCTACTAGATACAACAAGTTCTGGTAATTTCTTGGAAAAAGATGTGGAAAAGGATGTATACAATGCAATGCTCTCATCCTGGCTTCTCTAGTGAGTCACTTCTAAGCACTTTGTATAGACGTGTTCTCCTTAAAATTAGGATGCTACTAGATGCAACAAGTTATGGTAATTTCTTGGAAAAACATGTGGAAAAAGGTTTTGAGATTGTTGAGAACTTGGCATAAAATGATGGTAATTATAGTGAAGACTGTGATAGATCTTCAATAGGTGGGAGCGAATTTGAAGAGAGTAGAAGAAAAGATATGAAAGCTCTCAATGAGAAATTGGACAAGATACTCCAAGTGTCCCAAAAGAAAGTTAACTTTGTCGGGGATTATGATCCAAACAAAGATGGGGAGGATGATGTGCAAGAGGAAATCAATTATATAGGAGGCCAAGGAGGATTCGACAAAAGTTTCAACAACTATAAAAATCACCCAAATTTTCTCCTATATAAGCAATAATGTAGCTAATTCTGAAGATCAGCTTTACTCAAAACAAGCAAATTAAGGCCAAGGAGGACAACACAAACCATTTGCCCCGACAACCAACAACAACACTATGTTCCCATTAATAAAATTTTAAGTTAACCAAGGAGAATTTCAACAAAAGCAATCCTTTGCACCACCTCTTATTGGGTCACAACAAGGAAAATGTAGCAACTCTTATCTTCAAGATTTTGACATGAAGAACATGATATAGCAATTTCTCCAAGGCCAAGCTCAAGGAGTTATGGAGATGACCAAAAAGAAGGCTGAAATGCACAACAAAGTAGATTTCTCTTACAATGATCCTTACTTCAAGTTTGAGATCTTAACTTCCAATTTCAAACAAATAGGGAACAAATAAGCTTCCTCTACAACTCAATGAGGAAATCAAGGACAAGGATGGGGAGGTGGTCACTGAAAAAGATGAAGTAGTGATTGTTGATTACGAGATGAAAGCTAAGAAGGATAAAGGGATTGTTGAGGAAACGATCAAGGAAGCCCTAAAAGGGAAAGAAATTCTTTTTGTGTCTGCGCTATACAAATCACAACTTCCATTTTCAGGGAGGTTTAAGAAGCAACTAGTAGAGAACTTTAAAGCTTTCTTTGACAAGCAAATGAAAGTGATTGAAATCACTAATGACTTTAATTGATGCTTCCTTATTGGTGCCTCTTTATAAAATATTCTTTAAAGATACTGTTTTATAGAGGACCAAAGAGATATGAGGAATAGTGGTTCAGTGCAATTATACAAAGAAAAATTGTGCCATTAAAGCTTGGTGATCCAAGAAGTTTCACTCTTTTTTTGTGATGTGGGGCCTCTTTATATTAACAATTATTTATGTGATCTAGGAGCAAGTGTAAGCTTGATATCTCTCTCTATTGCAAAACGCTTACGATTTATAAGGTACAACGAGTGTAAGATCTCTCTAATATTGGCTGATAGATCAATGATATATCTTATATTCGCATAATTTTTCTTGTCTTCTCATGATAGTTAAGCTAGAGTTATTGCATTTAGGTCCCAGTTTATACTTTGTTCTCATTCATGTAGGTCTAGGATGCATTAGTTAGGATTTTTGCATTGGTCTTGCATGTTTGGAGCTCTTTTCAGGTACTTATACTATCACAAAGGTCAGGCGGAGGAAACCAAAGCACTCGGAGATAGACAAGGGCGACCAAATAGGAAGCAGACGAGGTCTTGCATCGCACCGGGAGGTAACCACATGCAAAGGACGTGACAAGCAGAGAGGTTTGCACTATGACTAAGTACATCGGGATGAAGCCGATACACGAGCCGAAATAGATGTTATCTCGCAATACACCGGGCAAACGTCGTGGCAGCAGCCCAATACAGACGACACGATCCATACCACGACGTCAGCATACTCGCCATGGGCTACCTCAGCGGGATGCAGCCGTAAATCTGCTAGCTTCCAAGCGAGTACCCATTTCAGGCAAGTGGTCCGACAAGCGTGCAAGGGCGACCTCCCTTCTCTCTTTCCCTATAAATACTCCCAACTGTTCATTTTGTCTCCCAGACGAAATACATTAGTCATTTCCGCATTTTGTCTTTCAGCTACCAGGCTCTTTCTTCTTTGTTTTGTATTTTCAGCATTGTTGCGATTCTAAAACCTTAAAGTTTTAATCAAGTATCTTTTAAGTATTTTCTGAGTAATATTTAGATCTTTACTTTCTTGTTTTTTCTTCTCACGGTTAGCCAAGAATGAGATCTTTCACCCTCATGGGTTATAAGACTCTTTCTATGGCGCGTGAGTAATCACCTCGCGGGGTTTAGTGGGTTTACTTAAGGATATAAGGGTTTCATGTCTTTTATTTGCCTATCATGCACTTTACTTTTGATTTCTCCTTGCTGGTTATGTTTAATGTTTAGTTTAGCTTAATCAACTTGATTAAAAGCTCTCAGGCGGCTTGACACAAACACCACGTGCATGCTTAGCCAGAACCACCTACAAGGGTATCGGTGGACCCACTCTAAGAAACTAGTTATGTGGGAAGTCTTACAGTTCTATGGGGATGGTGTCTCAGTTTTTGTCTGATTAATTGTACTACGTTGAGAGAGCTCGTCTATGGTGGTGGATCTTACAAAGGACTTAGACCCAAACACCATGCACTAGGTAACATGTAAAGACCCCCCTTACCTAGAAGTCACCATCAAAAGACCAAGTCTAGATGTGACCGAATGATAATGGCAACGTTCTAAATCTAATGATTGAACCCCTACTCTGTCTAATCCACTCTAACCTCTCACTTAATCTGATTAATCTCAGCTAATCTTATTCGCTTTACTTATTGCAATCTATATTCTGCTTTACATTCAGCTAACTTTTATTGCTCTTTACCATTTTAAGTTCATGACTTGAGTGACACAAGCCTTTCCTGATTTCGCTTGGCGTGTAAAAATCCAACTTTCATTAAACCGAACTTGACTTAAGAACTGTCACCTTGAATCTTAATAAGCCTCACAACACCTAAAATGGATTGATACCTTAAGCCATATACTACAAACGGTTATACTTAGGTTTAGGAATTGTTTAGCTAGTTACCGAATAAACCTAGTTACCAAATGGCGCTGTTGCCAGTTTGGAAATAAGTGACATTAAGATTAGTGATAGTATTAGGGACTAGTTTACTTCTTTAAAAAGTTACTAACTTTCGTTTGTTAAACCTTGTGAACCTTGTGCTTATAGGTACATGAACATCCATTCACAAGGTAGAGAGAACTTAGTTACTCAAGTCGACGAGATACACTTGCTTGAAAGATCAGTTAATAATCAATCAAGATCACGAGAAAGACTTGCTCGCTTTAACCGTGAGGAAATAGATCCGAACAACCAACCACAAGCCCCACATGGAAATGCTGGTGCTATAGGCCAGCCAGGGCCACAAAGTGTACAAGGACCTCCAGGTGCTCAGGGAGCACAGGGTCCTCAAGGACAAGACGGTCCCATAGCTCCACCACGGGTAGCAAGGCAGATCGGTGTCGGTGATGCACCAAATGCATTCACTAACCTTCACGGGATCCAGCCTCCCTTGGTGCCTAACAATAACTCCGAGATCAAGACCGGATTGATCTTCATAGTCCAGAACAACAGGTTCTTCAGACTACCGCTAGAAGACCCACTGGATCTAATCGACCAATTCCATAGTCTGTGCGATGACAATGAAGACGGGTTTAAACTAATTGTTTCCCTTCTCATTGGGAGACAAGGCTCACGCTTGGGAGAAGAGCTTACCGCAGGGATCGATCTCGTCATGGGCTGAATGCAAGAGGGCATTCCTCAACAAATTTTTCTCCACTGGCAGCACTGTCCGAATAAGGAATGAAATCAGCGGCTTCACTCAAAATGCAAATGAATCCTTTGAAGAGGCTTGGGAGAGATTTAAGAGCTACAAACAGTAGTGCCCATACCACGGGTTCTCACAAGAATCCCTACTCAGCACACTCAACCGCGGTGTACTCCTAAAGATCTGTATGTTGCTAGACACGGTGGGCAATGGTAACTTCCTAGCCAAGGATGTAGACGAAGGTCTCCAACTTGTGAAGAACCTTGCTCAATCAGATTCATCTTACAATGAAGACTATGACCGTTCAGACCGTGGCAGTTCTAAAGAAGAAGGGGAAGGAAGCCGAAAAATAATCAATGAGCTCAATGAAAAGTTAGAAAAGTTATTCCTTGTTCAGACTCAGAAGAAAGTCCGCTATGTTGACTACACTCGGCCACAAGAAGGAGACAAGGTCCAGTATGAGGACATGAACTATGTCAATGCTCAAGGCGGTTACAATGATTGGCGTCCCAATGCCAACTTGTCATACCACAGAACTAATGTTGCCAACCCTCAGGACCAAGTGAACCCACAGCAACAACAAGGCAGACCACAACCCTATGTGAAGTAGGTCTTTTCTGGCTATCTTAATCAACCAAATTTACTCTAGTCATTGTAGTAAGGGTTTTTGTCAATCCACAGGTCAAAAATGAATACACTAGGAATGCAATAGGAAATCTAAGTCAAGCAGGAATAGAAGAGATTGTTTTAACTATCAATCCTAATGAACCATTAACTAAACAAGACTAGTGAAAGCAATGATTAGACAATGACCAAAGTAACAAAGCAAGTGACTAAAGCAAATTCCAAATTCAAATAATAAAAGCAAGGATCCTAGATGTGGTTATGGAGTTCGGGGGATTCAAACTCAAGACTAAGTTGCTATCAAACTCATAAACAATGCAACAATGCAAGTAATGCTAATTCCTAGGTGTGGATTGATACTCACTTGCATACTGTACTACGACCTGGTTTTGCATTTGAATTTTGATAGCCTCATTGCATCCTCACCTTGCAAAAACACAGTTATCAAATGGCACCGTTGCCATCCTAGGAGTGTTTAGAAAGCATTGAGATTTGAGGTTTAGTAAAGACTAAGCCTTTTCTTTCTTTTAGTTACTCATTACTCTACTCTTAAACGTGTCTTTTAGATACATGAATCTTCGTTCAAGGGGAGACAACAATCTACTTCAACCCTTGGACAACATTCATCAACTTGGACACTCATGGCAAAGAAGAGTTAGGGAGCAAGCCAGAGCTTTTGAGGAGATTATTCAGCACGGTTTGGTTGACTTTGAAGCTATGGCCGAGCAGGAACATCCAGAGGGACCTCCTCCAGCTTATGGGAGAGTGGGAAGGGGCAATGGAAACCCCCACCACGCGGCTAGACGCCCAAGGATTATAGGAGCCGGAGATGCTCCCAATACTCACCATAATAGGTTTGGGCTCACTCCTCCTCCTGTACAGAACAAGAATTTCGAGATCAAGCCGGGTTTCATCTCCATGGTGCAAAACAACAAGTTCCAGGGCTTAGCAATGGAAGATCCCTTGGAGCACCTTGACAATTTCGAGCAAGTATGTGGGATGATCAAGATAAACGGCATATCAGAAGATGCTTTCAAGCTGCGTCTCTTTCCACGTGTCAGAAAAAAAGTAACCAAGATTGAGTGGGGATACAAAAAACGAAAGTATTATAAACTTTTTGATTGTAGCCAGTGAACAAGGAAAATTCATGAAGAAACGATCCAATTCATCAAGATACACAATGAGTATCGTATCCATACAATCTTGCACTTCTCGACAAATCTAATATCTTTCGTTATTCTAAGTGGTTATTCCTTTTGGGGTAAGGAGAAGCTTTTTATTCTGAATTCTTGGGTTCAAGAATTCCTATATAATTTAAGTGATACAATTAAAGCTTTTTTGATTCTTTTATTAACTGATTTATGTATCGGATTCCATTCGCCTCACGGTTGGGAACTAATGATTGGTTATATTTACAAAGATTTTGGGTTTGCTCATTATGAGCAAATTTTATCTGGTCTAGTTTCTACCTTTCCAGTCATTCTTGATACAATTTTTAAATATTGGATCTTTCGTTATTTAAATCGTGTATCTCCGTCACTTGTAGTGATTTATCATGCAATAAATGACTAAAAAATGATTCACTGATCCAATTCGAATATTTCTTACCTTATACATCATAACCAAATCAAAGTCGTATTTACTTTACTCTTTTTATCCACGTGGGAATTCCTTGTATATTTAAAAATTTTTTTTTTATTTTTTCAGTAAATGTAAATAGCAGAATTGTGGCTAGGGAAGTATATTATTGACCTACCTAACTTTATTGTAGAAATTTTCGGGATAAATGATTGGACCATGCGAACTAGAAATACTTTTTCTTGGATAAGGGAAGAGATTACTCGCTCCATATCTGTCTCACTCATGATATATATAATAACTAGGGCATCCATTTCAAGTGCATATCCGATTTTTGCCCAGCAGAATTATGAAAATCCACGCGAGGCAACCGGGCGTATTGTATGTGCCAATTGCCATTTAGCTAGTAAGCCTGTGGATATTGAGGTTCCACAAGCGGTACTTCCCGATACTGTATTTGAAGCAGTTGTTAAAATTCCTTATGATATGCAACTAAAACAAGTTCTAGCTAATGGTAAAAAGGGAGCTTTGAATGTGGGAGCTGTTCTTATTTTACCCGAGGGGTTTGAATTAGCCCCCCCCCCCCCCCCCCCCCCCCGATCGTATTTCACCCGAGATGAAAAAAAAGATAGGAAATCTGTCTTTTCAGAATTATAGCCCCAATAAAAAAAATATTCTTGTGATAGGTCCTGTTCCTGGTCAAAAATATAGTGAAATAACCTTTCCTATTCTTGCCCCAGACCCTGCTACTAATAAAGATGTTCACTTCTTAAAATATCCTATATACGTAGGTGGAAACAGGGGAAGAGGTCAGATTTATCCTGATGGTAGCAAAAGTAACAATACAGTTTATAATGCTACGGCAGGAGGGATAATAAGCAAAATTTTACGAAAAGAAAAAGGGGGATACGAAATAACCATAGCGGATGCAACGAATGAATGCCAAGTTATTGATATTATCCCTCGAGGCCTAGAACTTCTTGTTTCAGAGGGCGAATCCATTAAACTCGATCAACCATTAACGAGTAATCCTAATGTGGGTGGGTTTGGTCAGGGGGATGCGGAAATAGTACTTCAAGATCCATTACGTGTTCAAGGTCTTTTGTTTTTCTTAGGATCGATTGTTTTGGCATAAATCTTTTTGGTTCTTAAAAAGAAACAGTTTGAGAAGGTTCAATTATCCGAAATGAATTTTTAGATCTGTCTATTTAGCTTTATCAAATTCGTAAAAAAGAACAAAAAAAATGATGAAAAGCCTTTTGCCTCTCTTTATATTTTCTATTACTTTTCGACCAGGTGTCAGGAATTACTTGTATCATAGTCCATGTATATTGAGAAGAATTCACTTTAACCCCCTTTTATTTATTTTTCAATACAAATTTGAAAATTTATAAGGGGTCGGATGTAACTCTGTGGTTAGTGACCAATTGAAATTGATAGAATGTATTAATAATCAAGAGTTTTTTTCTATTTTTTCTATTAGAATGCAAAAATTTGACTAGATACTAAAACTAGATACTAAAATAAGATAAGGAAAGCAGGCGCAGAAAAAAAAGGAAACCATAAATCGGCGAAACAACTAATTTTGGGGCTATAGGGAGTATTATTTGTCTTGCTAGTCTTCGACACAAGAAAAGGATGTCTAAAATTCCTTTTATTGTGTCGATCTTGTCCGTCTGGATTCCATTCTTTAAAATTCCTATTCTTAGTTTACATATCTATTACTGTTTATATATATATAACGTTTTAATATATATATTAATTAATAGTACTTACTTTCTGATTTTTTTTATTTAAATTTTTATGAAATACTAAAAAAATCAGAAAGTAAGTACTATTAGTATAGACAAAATTTGAATACTATTAGTATAGACAAAATTTGAATAATAAATCTGCTGATAAAAAATATTGTGTCAGCCGGGAAAGCAGGAAAAAGACCACTTTAAATAAAAAAGGTTTGATACCATTAAACGAAAAAAAAAACCTTCGATTTTATAATCTAAATAAAGAAGAAAAAGACTCGGCAGGTCAAGGAGAGCTTGAATCAGATAAAGAAAAAAAAAAAATATTGAAGAAAATTATGAAGAATCGACGATAACAAAACGTAAAAATAAAAAATAATACAAAAGCAATACCGAAGCAGAACTTGATTTATTTCTCACAAGGTATTCGCGTTTTCAATTGCGATGGAATTGTTTTTTTAATCAAAAAATTCTTAATAATGTAAAAGTATACTGTCTCTTGGTTAGACTAAAAAATCCAAACGAGATAGCGATATCTTCTATTGAAAGAGGAGAGATGAGCCTAGATATTCTAATGATTGAGAATAATTTCACTTTTGAAAAATTAATAAAAAAGGGAATATTGATTATTGAACCTATCCGTTTATCTGTAAAAAATGATGGACAACTTATTATATATAGAACCATAGGTATTTCATTGGTTCATAAAAATAAACACAAAATAAGTAAAAGATATAAAAAACAAAGCTATATTGATAAAAAAAATAATTATGATTTCTTTGTCCCTGAAAATATTCTATCCCCGAAACGACGCAGAGAATTTTGAATTTTAATTTGTTTCAACTTAAAAAAAAAAAGTGAGAGATAGAAATTCAAGATTTGATACGAATATTAAAAACTTGACCACAGTTTTGCATAAAAAAAAAGATCTTGATAATGATAAAAAGAACCTAATTAAATTAAAATCCTTTCTTTGGCCCAATTTTAGATTAGAAGATTTAGCTTGTATGAATCGCTATTGGTTTAATACTAGTAACGGAAATCATTTCAGTATGATAAGAATACATATGTATAAGCGATTTCAAATTCATTAATGATGATCCTTTTTACTATATATAATATATAAGTTACGGTATATGAAAACAATTATATGCACAAATTTGAGGAATTATTTTAAATTAAATCCTTTATACATGAGATTCATTTAATCAATGACATAGATACCAATCAGAGCAGCTTCATAAATAAATTAAAAGAATCCTCCTTTTTTAGATCTAAATTTAGACTTTTTTTTATAAAATTAAGAAGTTGATAATTAAATTCAGATCCTTGTACAAAACAACTACCATTATTATTACTGATCCGTAAAATTCATATCTTTCAATTCATATTAAAAAATAAAAAAAAAGGAAGGATTTCTTTTTATGATAAAAAATGCATTCATTTCATTTCAAGAAAAAAAAGAAGAAAGCAGGGGGTCTGTTGAATTTCAGGTATTAAGTTTCACTAATAAGATACGAAGACGTACTTCACATTTGGAATTGCACAGAAAAGATTATTTATCTCAGAGGGGTCTACGAAAAATTCTGGGAAAACGTCAACGACTGCTGGCTTATTTGTCAAAAAAAAATAGAGAACGTTATAAAGAATTAATTAATCAGTTGAATATTCAGGAATTAAAAACTCGTTAAATTCCAAAATTGTGAATTAGTTAATTTTTTAGATATTGAATTTTTTGATAAACTTCTTTTTCAGCAATCTAATTCATGCCAGAACGAATAAAGGAAAAACTTATGAAGAGACCAGTTACAGGAAACGATCTTATGATAGTCAATATGGGACCTCACCACCCATCCATGCATGGTGTTCTTCGCCTAATTGTTACTCTAGATGGCGAGGATGTTGTTGACTGTGAACCCATATTGGGTTATTTACATAGAGGAATGGAAAAAATTGCCGAAAACCGCGCAATTATACAATATTTACCTTATGTAACGCGATGGGATTATTTAGCTACTATGTTTACAGAAGCAATAACAGTAAATGGACCAGAACAATTGGGAAATATTCAAGTTCCTAAAAGGGCCAGCTATATCAGAGTAATTATGCTGGAATTGAGTCGTATAGCTTCTCATCTGTTATGGCTTGGCCCTTTTATGGCAGATATTGGGGCACAGACTCCCTTTTTCTATATTTTCAGAGAACGAGAATTTGTATATGATCTATTCGAAGCTGCCACCGGTATGAGAATGATGCATAATTTTTTTCGTATTGGAGGAATAGCGGCTGATTTGCCTTATGGTTGGATAGATAAATGCTTGGATTTTTGTGATTATTTTTTAACAGAGGTTGTTGAATATCAAAAACTGATTACACGAAATCCTATTTTTTTAGAACGGGTTGAAGGCGTTGGGATTATTAGTGGGGAAGAAGCAATAAATTGGGGTTTATCCGGACCAATGCTACGAGCATCCGGAATACCATGGGATCTTCGTAAAGTTGATCGTTATGAATCTTACGATGAATTTGAATGGGAAATTCAGTGGCAAAAACAAGGAGATTCATTAGCTCGTTATTTAGTACGACTTAGCGAAATGACAGAATCCATAAAAATTATTCAACAGGCTCTCGAAGGACTTCCGGGGGGTCCCTATGAGAATTTAGAAAGCAGAGGCTTTGATAGAAAAAGGAATACAGAATGGAATGATTTTGAATATCGATTCATTAGTAAAAAACCTTCTCCTACGTTTGAATTATCGAAACAAGAACTTTATGTAAGAGTTGAAGCTCCAAAAGGGGAATTGGGAATTTTTCTGATAGGAGATCAAAGTGGTTTTCCTTGGAGATGGAAAATCCGACCGCCGGGTTTTATTAATTTGCAAATTCTTCCTGAACTAGTTAAAAGAATGAAACTGGCTGATATTATGACGATACTCGGTAGCATAGATATAATTATGGGAGAGGTTGATCGTTAAAATGATAATTTATGCAACAGAAGTACAAACTATAAATTCTTTTGTTAGGTTGGAATCTTTAAAAGAGGTCTATGGACTCATATGGATATTTGTCCCTATTTTTTCTCTTATATTGGGAATCATAACAGGTGTACTAGTAATTGTGTGGTTAGAACGAGAAATATCTGCAGGGATACAACAACGTATTGGACCTGAATACGCCGGCCCGCTGGGAATTCTTCAAGCTCTAGCCGACGGGACAAAACTACTTTTCAAAGAAGATCTTCGTCCATCTAGAGGAAATACTCCTTTATTTAGTATTGGACAATCTATAGCAGTTATTTCAATTTTACTAAGTTATTCTGTACTTCCCTTTAGCAATCACCTTGTTTTAGCGGATCTCAATATCGGTATTTTTTTATGGATTGCCATCTCAAATATTGCTCCGATTGGACTTCTTATATCAGGATATGGATCAAATAATAAATATTCTTTTTTAGGTGGTCTGCGAGCTGCTGCCCAATCGATTAGTTATGAAATACCATTAACTCTATGTGTTTTATCAATATCTCTACGTGCGATTCGTTGAAACATAAACGTTTATTTTGACTATTCTGTTTCTTCTAGACGAATAAGTTAAAAACGGACTATATATATATATATTTATTTATCTTTCAGGTTAATCTTAATAAAAGTAATTTGATAGTTATATATGAGTGAAAAAAACTGCTTCTAAATTAGCAGTAAAAATAAAAATTGAATCTCATTTCTTATGTACAAAGGTTAAACGAAAATAAACATAAGCGTAAGAATAACTTTACCCCAAGGTTGGTTGATTAGTCATCCTGGCTTGAAGCGAGTTAAAAAAAAAGATTAACCGTATGACGTTTTCACTATCAGTTATAGTTATATAGATTAACATACATGTATTACAAAGTGAGCGGCAATTAGGTAAAATGAGTGGATGCTTAGAAACACCAAAATACACAAAGAATTTGTAATAGAGATTAATCAAATTGAAAAAGGATATTTATGCATAACATAAGATAACAAAAAAAAGAAGGTTAATTGGGCTTGAAATTCGTAGAAATGATCAGACAGTACTCCCCAAGATTCCGATTCAGAGTATGCTCCTATCCACCGATAAATATAATGACTATCAGAAACGAAATAATCCTTTATTTTTTAAGTCCACCAACTTTATTTTTTCGAAAAAAATAAATAAGAAAAGGAACGAAACAAGGATATTTATTTTCATATATTTAGAAAATAAAATAGACTTTATGTCATGAATAAGAAACTAATAGGATGTCTAATTCTTTTTCGTAATTGAAAACTAAGACGGGCGGAAATACATATTTTTACGTTTTACTAAGGAGTATTTTATTAAAGGATTCAGTTATTACTCAACAAATAGAAATTAAAATTTGTAAAGG